CGCTCTCTCCAGTGCCGTTGTGGTTCCCGGTCGCGCACAGCGCACGTCCGACCTGCACGCGAGCCGAACGTTTACCGCCGACACAGGACGCCGGCACCGGACACAGGACACCGACACCGACGACGACGGCGCTCGCACGGGGGAAAAAACGACTGCGGTGGCGGCGGGCGAGGAGCGGTGAGTTCCACGTACGCAAACGCGCGCGTTCGTTGCGGTACGCAATCGCGAGGAACGCGACGGGCGCCCTCGGAGGACGTTCGTTCGGTTTTCGCCCGTTCGATCCTTCGCGCTGGTTCACGTCCATCGTGTATGGTTTACTCGTCGACTTATTCCTGCGCGTTCCAGAACGGTCGGAACACCGGGACGGACGACTATCGATTGCGCGGGTCTACCGTTGTCCGCGAGCACGTGCGCACCGATTGTCGATTTCGTCTTCCGACTCGTCCTGCACTCGCTTTCGGGATACGATCCTTTTTTTGTTTCGCCCCGAGTTCTTCGATTGTTTTCCGACCGCCGACGAACGTAGCACGATTATCGGCCGTCCGTCGCAATCGATTGTGCGCGCCGAGAATCTACATTCGTACACCGACATAACGTGTGCTTAAGATCGATACCGTGTTGGTCACAACCGTGTTCGGTCGCGGACCGTCGTTGTTTTTGAATCCGTACACGGGTCGCGTTCGTGAAACTGATCGATGGAAATAAAAATATCGCGATTTTATCAAGCGTACGCGGAAGAATCGATGTTCACATCGAACGGGTACACTATCGAGAAACAGCCGATTGACTCGCAATCGAATATTATTTACACGCGCGTTCCGGTTGTGGTGGCAGCGGTTCACTGTTCTCGTCGTTTGTTGTTTACTCCTCGTCGAATAATAATTTTATCTTATCGTTTGTTGACGACACACGCCGTTTGCTCGCATACTTCACCGCAACACATCGCACGCGCATATATATATATTATTATATTATTATATTATTATATTATTAATTAATTAATAACTGTAAATTAAACTAACTTCTGTTATAATGTATTGCTATTGGGTGGCTTCTTTTTTCAAGCGTCGCATGTCAAGTAAATCAATGTATCCGCATACATGCTTATTGTAAATTTAAATTACAGATTGTATGTTTTTAAAATAAAGTTAAAAAAAAAAAAAAAATATTATTCCCTATACCAGTGGTGGCCAAACTTTTTTTTACCTCGGGCCATAAAAAAATGCATTTTCAATTTTTTTTATGTAAATGCAAAATATTACAGTTATACAAATAAGTGCTGTAATATAGAAGACTTAAGCGGGCCAGATATAAAACGATGGCGGGCCGTAGTTTGGCCGCCACTGCCCTATACGATACACGTACAACACGTTACGGTTCGTACGGTGTTCAATTACTGTCGTGCAAATGATATTTTAATGAAAGTAATTCACTCGTCGTGCTCGATTCGTTCATAACCGATTGATGCAAAATCGTCGTGTACCAGAACATATTTTAAGTAATTTTCATTGGGTGACACTTCAATAAAATTGTCTACCAGAGAAACGTAAAGGGAAAATCAACTCCTGTCATTGCGGTCGTTATGAGAATGTGTTGGCCGCAGTAACCCAGCACTGGGTAGCATTCGGTTACCACTAGTGCCACGTGTTTTGTATGTTATAATACGCTCCGTCTTGTACAGTAACACGACGATTGCACGTTTGCGCGGGCGCACGCGCTTTAATAGATTTATAGACGGGGCATAACTAATAATTAGTATCTCGTCGAAAGAGTTCAAATCGCTGTTTCGAAAATTATTCGAACAATTCGTTTGCCGTTTAGGAATGATGCGCATATCGTTCTACGTTTCGGCGCGTAGTAACCGCCTAATACCGTATCACCGAGATTTCACTTCTACGACGGCCGCGGTACCGATCTATCTACACGTTCGAGTATAAAATATATATTTACGACGGCCCTAATAAAATATCTCTCGTAAACCTCCGAGCATTTTAATGATGTTTGATGATCGTCATTAATCAAATCGGTTAAAAACGAATTATCGTTGTAGAGCTACGAAGGTCTCGGCGCACAGACAATCGCTTAACCGACTTTTGTCGTTTTCGTTCACACCGAGGGAAAATTATGCGTTTTGGCTCACGTGCGTCGTGGTGACAACTCATTACTTTAGCGCCCGACGGAACTAATGGTAACGATAAACATTTGGCCGAACAAAAAAATCATTTCACAAAAATTAAATACTGTCATTCGAAATTTCGTACACCAACACTTAAATAGTTTTACATCCACAAAATAACATTTTAAATCTATAAAAAAAATTACCTACAACAAAAAGTCAATTTTCCTTTTAAATTATAATCGTTGTACCCGTGTTTGTTATTTAATTATTTATTTTTTGCTTATAATGATTTATTCGGTTCACTTATACCAATACGATACCTACAAGCGTTCAATAATCATATTTTTTATTATTTTCTCAAATCTTTTGATTTGTTATGTTGAATAAAATAATAAAATATATTAATTAATCGATTCAAATTGAAATCCAAAATGTTTGTTTATGCCAGCACATGCAGTCTTTCTTTCAATTCAAACAAAAGAGGACAATAATAAAGTAATTAAAAATTAAATTAAAATTAAAAATTATCAAACGATTAATACTTGTAAATTAATACATAAATGAATAAACAAATAGTTTATATATAAAAATAAATAAATGCTTATGTTGGAGTATTATTATGTTTGAAGAGTACGACCAGTTTTGAATTAAAAATATCATCGTCAGGTATATTATACAAAGTCAATAAAATCACGATTAGAAAAAAGGTCAACTTTCACAAAAATAAATAACCCGCTCCATTAAGATTCAAAATAGATTTTAGTCAATTTGCTGGATGACTTGCTTTTAAATTTAAATATATTTTTTTATAATATAATACACGGATAAGTTAGACGCTCTCCATCGTTTTCTAAATTAGAATTTGTGTACCAATTGATGTGTTGTTGGGACAATTATAACCAAGTGATAATGTAATATTTAGCCGTGCTTAAAAAAATAAAATGAATAGACCAACACAGATCATTGTGCGTCAACTAATCGTTTTCTGTATATATAGAATGTATACATGTAGAATTAAATTTCAATTATTATGTATATCACCCCATTAATGCATGTCGTTCGAATACGGTTCCGAGTGCAGGTTGGCGATAATAAGTTCTCTAAAAACACCACATTAAATTATTATACAATTATTTTTGACCTAACCGTATCATAATTGCAGGTCTGATTCACTTTGTGTATTATATTCGTACTGATGTACTTTAGTCGAACACGGAGTACTTTGATAAAGAGCTTATTTACTGTTATTGTTACGGTTGTAATTATTATTCCAACACTTGTAAATGTTCTTATTTACAGATTATTTAGTATTACATTTATATAATTTTTTTGTTTTTTTATAAAATATGAAGCGAAAATAATATCTAGTCTTTATAGTTAATTATTTTAATTAAATATTATCCAAATCAAAACCTAATGTATTATAGTTCTTGTAAAATATTTATGAACATTATGATTATAAATAATTTAGCTGCGGCACTTCCGCCTATGAGTTTGCGTATTAGTTGACCAACTTGGATGTAGATTGTTATTTTTAGTTATGAAGAACTTTTCTGTACTTTTTATTTATTACAAATCTATTTATTTATTTATTTTTGTGTTAAGCCGATGCCATATGCTAATACATAATATATATATATATATTATAAATAATAATTTCAGAAGAATAAAGAATATAAATAAAACAAAGACTGATCAAATTAATAATGGTGATTGAAATTATATATTTACATACTGGATGATATCTAGGAAAATTATTAGTTTACGCTGTACCAGCATGTATTTTACGATGTATAAATGTTAACATGTTGTTTCTAGTCCGTAACAATTTTATAAAATAAAGTACTCAATAGATAAAGCTGAGTTACAAAAATATTTACTTATTTGGCGATAATCGATACTTTTTTAATTTTATTATCTATATTGTAAATTTAATTTTAATTTTTTAGAATACGAGAATAGAAATAAAGTAAAAACAATTTTTTTTTTACCGTTTGAACCGATGACAATGGGGCAACAAGTTTCCCAATACTTCTCCAGAAGTATAAACGATTTATAGTAAAACCTTTATGCGTTACATTTTTAGGCAAAAATGGAAGTCGATTACATTTGGGGAACTTCGTCGAATAACGTGCCGGTCCAAAAACTGGAGCAACACTTTCGCGAAAAGTTCCAATCGTGTCAGCCGGAGTATTACGTCAAAGTTCCCGGCAGGGTCAATCTGATCGGCGAACACGTGGACTACTGCGGTTACTCCGTGTTCCCGATGGCCATCGACCAATGCATCGTGGTGGCAGCCAAGAGGACCAACGACCGGCAAACCGTCCGGTTGACCAATCTGAATTCGGATCGATACGAAAATGTGTCTCAGAACATAGCCGACATAAGGTGAATTGAATGCATTTCGTAATCATCGACATTATGCGTCGCCCGAGGACCAAAATTATTGTGTTTAGTACAGATAATACATGCATACCTCGGAACGTTATAATTTGTATTATATTTGTGCGTATTGTCGGTTTTACATATTATCGGGCAATGAAAAATCGACATCAAATATTATATATCAATACATTTAATTTTTATTAGTTGGGGAAAACTTTTGACAGTAACATTAATAATGAATTACTTATAAAAATCGTACGCCCGGGTTTTAACTATCGCACGTAGTAAGAATTGAATTACTTAAGAGCAGAATAAGTTATTCGAAGAAAGAATTTTGTCGAAACGTTTTCTATATCAACTGATGCGTTTGTATTTATCACAATGTGTTCATTCGAAGCTCAAGTATAAACATCCCTCATGGTGCTGCAAATATGATGCGGAATTTATCACAATTTTTTAGACTGACGAAGTATTAATTTCCGTTCTAAAACAATTAACATTTAAAAAAAAAAAAACTGGTAATAAATATCCATTTTGAATAATTATTTATTATATATTTATGTACGTCGAGTACAAATATAAAGTATTACTGTACACCGATAAAAACATGCTTTATATGTTTATTGAAAACTTGTAATCATTCATACAATTAGTTTTCATAAATGATACAGCTGAAATTTTAAGTATCCTCGTTTTGTTTTTAACACTGCACTTTTGAATTGTGATATTTTTATCATCGTATCCCGTCACTTGAACCGATAAATATACCGTCGTTTTTTCTGCGGCCATATAGCGCGGATTCACTCGGCAAGAGCCCGTGCTGGTCAAATTATTTCCTGTGCGGCGTGAAAGGAGCTCGAGAGTACATAAACGAAAGTCAATTGAAAGCCGTGGAAAACATCGGATTTTTCTTCGCGGTTACCGGTAACATACCTGAGAGCTCGGGGCTTAGCAGTTCGAGTGCTCTGGTAACGGCAGCAGCGATGGCAACCCTGGTCGGATACGGAGTGAGTAGATCGACTATACATTAACTGGGGTGCGTAAGAAACTAAGATAAAAAAATAATAATAATAATAATAATAATACATATTTTGTATTTCACACACCGCAGTTCATGGGTTTTCATAAAACGGCATTCTGAATAGGCAAAACAAGGGCATCCGTTCGATATGAAATTGTGTTCCGCTCTGCACCGTTACTAGTCAATACACTTCATTAGCACGAAGACGTAATGTGTACCGTGCGCTGCGTTCAACGCGATTATTAACCGTATGCCCTTATTAGATATAATTGAATGTATATTATAAGAAAGAAGTATGTAATTTGGTTAAAACGTTTGAAATATCTAACGGTGCTGTTGAAAAATATCAATTTTTTTTCCCACTGAAACGAATTTTTGTGTTCCCCCCGCCCCCGAACCGGTTTGTCTCTGCATGATATTTTGCGAGTTAATAGCCAACACTGACGTGCGACAAATATGCGTACGATGTATCATGGTATGCAGATGACATATTATAAATTGAAGCGGTAGATCACGTCACTAGCGGACCTGCATATGTTACGTTACAATTGTTGTTCGTTTTCAGGTTCAGATCGATAGGCTCCAGTTGGCTGAAATCAGCGCTAAGTGCGAACGGTACATCGGCACGGCGGGCGGCGGTATGGACCAAGCAATAGCTGTGAACGCTAAACAAGGTAACCGGACACGTGTCTATACCAATATCTCGGTACTCGACGCCCGATTATGAATCCTACCGATCGCGTACTAATGTATTTTAACTGTTTCTCGTTACGCATCCGAAGGTTACGCGGCTCGCATTTCCTTTCATCCGCTGGCCGTCAAACAGTACCGTCTGCCGAGCAACACCAAGTTCATTGTGGCCCAGAGCCTGGCCGTCAAAAATAAGGCGGCGTCGAACGATTTCAACACGAGAGTGGTGGAATGTAGGCTAGCCTCTCAGGTAATAACCACGGACAGGATTGCGAACGATTCGCTCATCTCGTAATTGTTTCAAAAACGATTATTCTTAGCGCTTTGTTCGTCGGTGTGTTGACCAGTTGCCCTCAACAGTTGTTTTCGGCATTTAAAAAATGTACCAGTCGCCCTCACATATAATATACACAATTACAACATAAAATAGGGGAGGTAAATACGTAAATAATTAATAATTAATATAATAATATAATAAATAAGCCGTTTATAATTATAAGTAGGTAAAATACAGTGTAATTTGTTAGCAAAAATTAAATATTTGCAGTTGTAATATAATTGTTGGTATCTATTGTGTTTTGTAATAATGACTAACAGCTTTTAAAAAATCCAATCTGCTATCATATCATATCGTATACATTATATGTGAGGGCAACTGGTGCATTTTACTCTATGTAGTTTTGGGGGAATAGGTATAAAAAGAAATACTTTTGGGGGCAACTAGCAGACGCCCGTTTGTAAAGATCTTTTTTCCATTTAGTTCGTGCGACATGTGTGTGTTCGGATAAATTGAAAAAATGAAATATGTGATTATTAACAATTCACGATGGACGTATAACCTATAAACGTAAAATGTAAATTGTGAACGCGAAATAAATCTAATACATTACACTCAACTAATACGTCAATCGATTGAGCATTAACTGCAGGCGCACACTTTTTCGTCCCGTCCTTATTTGCGGCCCGGTAGCGATTTGTTATTACATGGGTATTTTCTAGATATAATATTTGTTGTAACTTTACAATTCATTACGACGTAGTAGTATGACAACAAAGTAATCAATTCAAGTCGCTATTGAATAATAAAATCCTGATTTTAACGGTGCTATTTTGGTTTTGACCAGCTCAGTTATTTACCACACTGGTTTCGCGGGTTTCAGGTAATCGCAAAACGTTTAGGCTTCGATTGGAAACAGATGACCGTGTTGGCGGCACTCCAAAAGCGTTCGGGCAGCTCGCACGATCAGATGATCGAATTGGTCCACCGGCATTTACACGTCGACGGGTACACGAAAAAGGAGGTGTGATTGTCGCGTAATTGCGTCGTTAAAGCATTACACGTTAAACACGGTGAATTATTTTTAAAATATAATCACTGTTTTGTTCAGGTGTGCGAAATCCTTTCCGTGTCCGAGGACGAGCTCAACAAACTCAGTTTGACGCCCAACACGATGAACGTTACCGAATTCTTCCTGCACCAAAGAGCATTGCACGTGTTCGAAGGTCAGTGAAACGTTACAGGTTTTCGCGTATACGGTTGCTGGTCTACAGTCGTATCACGTAACATAGACGTTGATCATTGTCAATGGAAAATAAAACCATTTAATGTATTGTACCGTGTGTGCGCAGAAGCCAAACGGACGGAGAGGTTCTGCGAGCTGTGCGAAAACTCCGGCACGGCGTCCGAACTCGGCCGGCTAATGAACGACAGCCATTCGTCCCTGCGAGACCTGTACCAGTGCAGTCATCCGGACCTGGAGCAGTTGATCGAGATTTGCAAACGCGGAGGCGCGTACGGATGCAAGCTCACCGGTGCCGGGTAGGCGATCCGTAGTCCACACGCGCGCTCCCGTAGGCATCACTTCGAGATTTTCAATCGGGCTGGACAGTTTTACCATTGTATTCTTCTTCGGCCGAGATATCCACCGCGGGGGTTCCTTCGTTTCACGTACTCCCGTAGAAAGTCTCTCCGACTAGAACAAGAATCTAACTTCGAGTTCAACTAAAAATCTATAAATTAATAATAAAAAAAAACAAAAATCATCAAACTAAAATGCCGTTAGACAATTGATAAATCAAAAAAATATTATTGCGATCGTAAAAATATGCAATTGTTTTTAGAAAACATATTATTTTTATGTCAACCAATTGTATTTATAATATAGGATTCATTCAGCGGATAGTTTATTATCAAAACGTTTCTTTTATAACAGAATCACTTTAAAGTTTTTAAAACTTAGCTAGAAGTTTAGCATTTGTGAACATTCTTTTATCCATACTTAATTTTGATTCGTTCTATAAATAATCGATGTATGATAACGGTTTTCAGTGACGAATTTCGACACTTGAATCTATTTCACGTGATCATATAATTAGAGTGCAATTAGTTCACAGCTGGTTGATGACCATAACGGATCGTTCAAGGAAAACGTCAGTGATGAATATTTTTGAAATTCGTACGCGTTGCGGAATATTAATGATTTTAGAAGTTACAGACGATGATAAACCTTTTACGGGTGGGATCTAGCCCTCCAAACGTACCGCGCGATTGATTGTGTTGTAATGGATACAGTGTTATCAAGATTTGTGTTTTGTTTAGCTGGGGAGGATGTGTCGTGGTCATGGTGTCCTCGGAGGGCGCCGACGACTTCGTGAAGTTTGTGAAAGACGAGTTTTACGCGAAGAGAACGACCTGCGGCAAAAGCGTCGACCAACTGATTTTCGCCACCAACCCGTCGGAAGGCGCTTGCATGTACGCGACGCCTTCGTCTGACCATATCGGCGAGACACCCAACCTACCGGCCCTGGGGCACTTCTAAACGACAAAAATACCCGGACATTATAAAAATTACAACTATTATAACATTTTCGTACGACGACGCATTATCATTATGTCCGCGTAACGTTATCATGTAAAATTATATACTTAGGTGCACAAACACATGGCTGTAAGCAATTATATTTACTATCGATTATGTACATGGGATATGTCCAACTAGGGTATTGATATATTGTATTCGATCCGCTGATAATATTAATGTTAACTTTTTCGATGGACTGGCGTGTACGAAATAAAATCGCTCATTCGCATTTAACGTGTCACCAGTGTACATACCGAATACGTTTTCATCATACGATTGCGTAACAATATCGTAACGTATACATGAGTATTTAAATAGAGCAGTTCAATTATTCGTGTGATGAACAAACCGCACATTCGGATGATGGTTGAAATGATGAATGTTTTTTTACGAAAGTTTCTCCGTTAAAAATAGGTGTCCGTTACGTTGGAAAACAAACATTTTTAGAATTAAAAACAAATTCCATAAACGTAAAATATTATAAAAATGCTATTAAATTACTAAAAATTATATGTATAATAAATTGGGGTGTAGTTATTACGACACGGTAATGTCAGTTTAAAATAAGAATGTTTAATTAGATTTCAAACGAAAAAAATACTGTAAATGTTTACAACTTATGAAATCGTTCTTATTGTTGCATAGTAATTATAATTTTATCATTGTATTTTTATTATAATATATTTTTATATGAATAAAATTTAAAATATTTTTTTAAATACGTTAATGAATCATTGCTATTTTAAATTAAAAATATACATACATATATGCCGAATTATTTTTATATTATTTTTATTATTACTATTGTTATCTATACATGTTGTACACAAAATGTTTAATAAGTTTTGTTTCTCCCTCCGGTATATTTATTTCTTCCATTGTTAGTATATCGATTCCTTTAAATATTTTCTTTAGAATTTCCATTTTTGCACTTGTTAGACTTTCAACATTCTTCTTCTTCTTCCTCTGGCACTTAGTACTCTTTAAGAGTTTTGGCCGCCATCACAATATCTCTCCATTTTTCACGGTCCTGTACTACTTCCCTCCACTCTTGTACTCCCAATCTTTCAAGGTCTTCTTCCACAACATCCAACCACCTTTTCTGGGTCTTCCTCGTGGTCTCTTTCCCATTGGTTTCCAGTTTAGGATTGTTCTACTTATATCATCTTCACTTCTCCGCATCGCGTGTCCTAACCATTGGATCCTTTGCCCTCTTATAAAGCTGATAACTGATGCAATTCCCAATTCGTCTTGTAGTTCTTTGTTATATTTTCTTCTCCAGGTTAAATTGACGCTATCATAAATAGGTCCACAAATTGTCCTCCAAATTCTGTTTTCAAAGGTCCTAAGTCTTCTTTCGGTTGTGCTAGTAGTAGTCCATGCTTCACAGCCATAGGTGAGCGTCGGTCTCTTTCAACATTAAACTACACAATTATTGTATTTTTCTGGGCGTCCTTTTTATACAAATTTTTGTTACTGTCATATTCTTCTGCTGATTTATCAATGGTCATTTAGTTCTTGTTTTTTTTTTTTTTTTTTTTTTTATGTTACTTTTATAGATTTTTTTGTATTTTTTTATTTTATTTTGGTACATGAGATGATAATAACTAATGAAAATGAAATTAATAATTTGTAATTACACCGTAGGGAACAAAATATACATTGGATATAGCGACTATATTAAGACGGAATCTATTAATTGAATCAGCTTAGAAACACCATTATAGTGAGCGTCACAGTTCCAAATTACCATTAAATTTATATTAGAGATTGACATATTTCAAGGGTTTATTATGTAATTGTAATTCAAAATTGATCTTGAATCTATTTGTTGTTATTATATTCTATTCATTTAAAATTGTCTACTATATACTATTATATACCTATTATAATAATTAATGATTAATTTCTTCTTATTGTAATAAGCCTATGTTATTTAAATAATGTTGGTTGCAGTTTAATGTATACATGGTTATCTCCCGGTGAAATCAATCAAAAAGGTAATTTATAAATATTTGATATTCTAATGTTGTTACAGTGTTTAATGGATACCTTAGACACAGACTACACAACATTTTGTTTTAATTTAAAAATAATGTGTTTATTAATTGTATTATTAGTTTGCATGCCTTTCACTATTTTTATTGTACCTAAATTACCTGTACTATTTATAATTGTTAGTTACATATTTTAATCGAATTTTTAATTTTATCCACATTTAAGTATTTTGTTTTGTGAAATTCCATCAAGCATAGAAACAAAAAAATAAAAAAATATGATTCATTGGACTTGATATAATTGATCTATATACATATGCAAAGACATGACACCAAAAATGATTTAATTAAAAATTGATAAATCAGTTGTTAAAATTTACCGTTATTTGTTTAATTATATTAGCAAATATATTTTTAAATTGATGAATAATAATTAATGAATATGAAATAAATAATTTGTAGTTACATCGTAGAGAACAAAATATAAGTATTTAAAATAATTGAAAAATCTATAAATCCTAATTATAGGAGTATTTAAGTTTTATAAAGACTTAGAAGTTATCCTTTCATTTTTAATTTTTTAAAATACTTATGAAACATTTACGAATATGAGAATACAAAATATCAAGTTCTTAATATCACAATATTAAGTTCATGCTTATAAGTATAACAATTAAATAGTGCTTTATTTTGATACACATTTAATTATTTATGAATAGAGTGTAGCTGCACATGCCTAATATAAAAAATAAAACGAACACTAATACACACTATACATATATGTTTTTAAACAAATTGAATTTTTCGTTCACTTAATTTTAGAGTCCCGTTTATGGAAATTTAATGTTTGATGATGATAGTGAAATTAATTAATTTTGCGCTTGATGTAGGTATTTGAATACCACCATTTGAATTTTGAGTTCTATTGAATATTTAACACGTATGTTATGGTCAATCGATCTTGATGTACAATAATATAATATAAACGTTAAATTTTTGATTAAAAGTTCTGAAAGTTTGAAAATTCGGCAAACATATTATTACTACCGAATTGGCAATCGACTAAACGATTGCGAAATGCAAATCTTATAGCAAAATAAAATAAATATTTTGTTCAAATTTCAGTAAAATACTACGCCTATAAGTACATTTATCAATCAATAAATTATGATTTTTTTTACAATTTTCATGGCTGAAAAATAATAGTAGTCTATACCAATGGTTCTCAACCTTTTTTGTTTGATGACACCCTAATTTAGGTCTATAAAAATAGCGACACACTTGAAAAAATTATCGGATTTTTGAAATTCAAGAATTAAAAACTTTGTAAATTAATACATTAATATGTTGAAATTTTATTAAAAAAAAATTTTAATTTACTTAAAATGTAAACAGTATTAGGTTATAAATAGGAGCTGGAATTATATTCTTTTCCATATTTTTTTGAGGCTATGCAGTCAGACGGGGCATTTTTTTTAGCGTATTTGAGAATATTTCAAGATAAAAGAATATTTCGTAAAATAAAGAATACTAGAGAATAGTATATCGATTAATTTTTATAGATATTCGAGTATTTTGTTGCAGTGGCGTAAATCATGTAAATTATGTGTCCGATAATAGTGATATGATATTGATATATTATGTACGTATTATAATCATCGTATATACGATCATTATGCCCTAATTAGTAATCTACTGTAATAGTCTGTAGTAGATAAGTGACTTATCTAAGATAACGATGCCCGACAAGAAATGGAATTATTACTACACTTCAAAAATAGCTAGGTCCAAACGTTTGATTATATCATTTACGGTACAACACTGCAGTGTCGCGTATCGTATAGTGTTGATATAGATATAGATTAAAGTTTCATTATATTTCATTAGTCGCTTCGTTTTACTTGTTTATAATGCCGAAAACACTATCAATTAAATTAAAAAATTTAATTTCACAGTGGATTCAACTATTAAATAAAAGAAATATAACTCTTTATTGTCAAGTGTATAATAAAAATGTACCATGCATTAAAAAGTCTCAGTTATAACAAAATGTAGATACATTTTCACACTAAGAAGCTCTATAGCGTAAGTTAAACACTTCAAAACAGTTGTTTTTATCAGAATCGACTTCTAAAAAAAATGTAAATGAATTTTATCAAGATTTATGTTTGAGTCTTGTATCCGCAAATATTCCATGGTATAAATTGCAAAATCGATAATTTTGGGGATTTTTAGATAAATATACTGGCAAGCATATACCTAATGAAGGTCAGCTTAGAAAAAATTATCCATCACATTGTTATAATAAGACTTTATCCAATATAAAAAATTAAATAAGCGATAATAATAATATTTGATTTGCTGTTGATGAGACAACGGATATAAATGGCCGTTATGTGGCGAAATTATTGGTTGAGATATTAAAGTTAAATCATCCAACTCGTTCTTTTCTGTTAACATGTAAAATTTTAGAAAAACTTATCACTCTACTGTGGCTCAATTTGTGAATGATGGGTTAAAATTACTGTGGTCCTTGGGCGGAAATGATGAAAAAGCATTGTTGATGCTCTTAGATGCTGCGCCGTACATGTTGAAAACGGGACAGCCACTTGCAGTTTTCTGTCCCAATTTAATTTATGTTACATGTGTAACTCACATGTTTAATAGGGTTGTAGAAAGGGTTAGAAAAATATACCCAGACATAAATAAATTGATTATCTAATAACACAAAAAAAGTATTTCTAAAATCACCATACCATGTGCAAGTGTATAAAGAAATATTACCAGATATTCTGTTACCCCCTAAACCAGTACTAACCAGATGGGGAACGTGGTTGGAAGCTGCTATTTTTAACTGTGATAATTTCCAAGATATAAAAAAGTTATTGAAGAATCAAGTAGTCAAAAATCTTCAAGTCAGTCAATACTTAAATTTAAAACATTTGTTGACTTATAAACCATAGAAAACGATCTAATATTTATTAAGGTCCATTTTCTTGTTCTCGTAACATCCATCAAAAGTTTAGAAAAGTCTAATGTGTCTCTCGTTGATTCGATAAATCTAATTGAAAATACAATTGGTCAATTTCAAAAAATACCTGGAGAAAATGGAAATAAAATAAAAATAAAAATTGATCTACTTCAACAAAAAAAAATCAACGGCTCATCATTTTTAAAACCGTAGCTAAAGTTTTGAATGGAAATAATAAAGCTCAATTTAGAGACAATTTTTCACCGACTATGATTACTGATTTGCAAAATGCTCCCATGACTTCAGTTGACGTCGAACGTTCATTTAGCACGTATAAAAACATATTAACAAACCGTTGTAGGTACATATATGACACCGAACATATAGAACAAAATATAGTTGTCAAATGTTTTCAAAAATTTTCTTATTTAAAAACACCTTATTATTATTAATATAATGTAATCAAATTTTTTTACCATGTATTATTTTGTTTATTTTTTGCATATTATTTTTTATCATATACCAATTTACATCAGTTTTTTTATATTATTTTGCATATAAATGAATATTTTTAGTTCAAGAGAATATATTAATAAAAAAGCATATTCTTTTCATATTTTATTATGATTTTTAAAAAATATTGAAAGA